GAAATAATTGGCCAATGGTTTGTCCACAGTTCCAATAAAAGTCGGCAACTGTGTATCAGGCACTGGATGACGCCGTATGGCAGTCCTAAGGTTTGGGGTGTTCTTGTCCCCTGTCCCCATGTCCTTAGGTTTGGGGTGTTCTTGTCCCCTGTCCTTATGTCCTTTGTCTCCCTTTGAGGAGTTTGGGATGTCTAGAAACAAAATGCCCCAAGTGAGACCTGATTTCGGGGAGAAAAATTGATGACTTTGTTTTAGACACTTTATTCTCCTATCTTCATTCTGTCACCTTATTGTCAATAGCATCTGCTTCCCCAGGATATCTCAGCTGCACTTTTTGGGAGTGTTTCTTTCCCTCTCATGTTTGGTCTAGGCGTGTTGTTTCTTCTTCAGGGGCCTGTGGAGTTGGCCCACCGTCTCTGTCTTCACAGCCACATCTGTGGCTGTGGCTCACTTCTCTGAAAGATCAGAGTCATTTGCTAGCTCCATTGAAGGTTGCAACCAGCTGTGGCCAGAATGCCTATTTGTTCTGACAACAACCATGTTGGTCCATCAGTGTCTCACATTCTGTGCAATTGCTAGAGTTGTCAACATTTAATCAGGGGGATTTATATAATATGGATTTCCAGTTTCTCTTCGAAGATCAGAAGGTCTCATGACACCAGATCCTTGGCCCCTTCAGGGTAACAGTGGTCAGAGATCTGCATTGGGACATTCTTTAGGCAGGGCTGGCCCCTCTAGTAGGCAACATTCTCTATCCATCTGGTTCACTTCACTTTTGACATAACTGAACATCCCCGTGAGATATTTCATTTTGTGACTCCTAGGTCAGAGGGTATCAGTGGTAATGTGATCACAGTCTATATAATTGCTGTATCAAACCCATCTCAGTGACATCACAGATTCACTAATCACCTGTCCCTCGAGCCCTAGGCTGCCTGCGCCAGACTAGATTAGTGCCGTCGACTGAATGTTGGTGTCCCCACCCCCAAAGTCCTGTGTTGGAAGCTAATCCGCCATGTGAGGGTATTGGAAGGTGGAGTCTTTGGGGGTTATTTGCATGATTAGGTCATGAGAACAGGACTCTCATGAATGTGATTCACGCCCTTATAGAAGAGACTTCAGGGAGCTCCCTGGCCCCTTGCACCATGTGAGGACACAGTGATAAGACGGCTATCCATGAATCAGAAAGTGGGCTCTCACAGAACCAAATCTGGTAGCACCTTAATCTTGGACTTCTCAGCCCCTAGAACTGTGAGAAGTCGATTCCTGCCTTTAGAAGCCACCCACTCTGTGGCAGCCGGAACAGTTTAAGATGGTTACCCAGCCCTCTTTGGGGCCCACACAGGACTCTGTCCATGTCTCCAATCCAGCTTTAATGGGAGGGTCATTGAAGGCTTACTTCTCTGTCTTCTCCAGACTTTGAGTTCTCTGAGGGAAAATTTGATAATCTTTTCTCTAATACGTACCTGGCACACAGTAGTTCACTATAGGTTTACGTAACGAATAAAAAACAATGATGTCTTATCTCTACTCAACTTGCAGTCCCTCATGGTCAAGGATGTATGTTTGATTCAACTTTGCATTCCAGCACCAAGTGCAGGACCTGCTATAAGGTAGATGCTGAACAGAGCTTTGAAAGAATGAATAAATTGGTGATACAAAAGAGAATTTGTCATTAAAGTCACATGGGGGAACACTAGCTCCTATAATGAGGAGACACTGTTAGACCTAGCTCTGTTGAGGCTGAACAGCCCCATAAGCAGGGGTCAGCCACACAAGACAGTGTTTGATTTCACTTCCTTCTACAAGTTGTGTTGAATTAAAATGGGAAGCAATTGTTCTCCCCACCTCCACCTGCCCACCCACAACCTCACTCCTCAAAGGCAACACATCGCATCTTTGCTGTCCCATACTCCCTCCCCCCCACTCTTCATACTCAAGCCCCGGTGTCCTTCTTTCAGTCTTTCGTATCCTTCATGTCTCATCCCCTAGAGTTACCTTCTGCGGGGTTGGCAGGTTGGCTGCAATATGTGGAGGTTGCCTGGGATCCAGGCAGCTCCCAAAGATTTCCCAAACCCCACTGTCAAAGCAGAGTGGCCTGGAAGTGGCATAGAGCTGCCAGACCTGGAAGGGCTTGGCCAAGGGTAATGAGAAATGACTCCTCCATGGTGACCAACCAGGACCAAACGATTTCAGCAGAGGTCACAGCTTCCATTGGACTTAATGGGAGTGGGAGGCCCCAGCGGACTGGGCACACTCCACTCCCAACTCAGCTCTCTCCACAGCCTCCTTCCCTCCATTCAGAAGGGATGGTTCAAAAAGTTTTTTTTTCAAATAACAAGTAACTATAAAATAATATCTTGAAAAAATATACAGCATAAAAAAATGTTGCAGTGGGCATCCTTGTGGTCATTCCCACCCCCTCATCCCCATGGACTCTCTCCCAATTCCATGCCCTTCCTTCTACCTTACAGGAAGCCACTTTCCAAAGTCTTGGTTTACGGTTCCTTTCTCATTATGGTTTTACCCTGTGTGTTTGTATGAACCAGACCATATTGTTTGCATTCCTAAAGAATATTTTGTGTACTTCAGCATATTTTTAAATTCTAAACAAATGCAATCACTCTGCATTTGTTTGTTTGAGATTGTTTAGGTTGAACTGTTGTTATGTGTGGCTGGGATTCTTTCATTTTTTTCCCTGCTGTAAAATGTTCTTCTATGCACACATACTCAAAAAAAATCACTCTTCTGCTTATTGGATAGGTTATTTCTGCTTCCTGCCAGCTGTTGTATCTTGCCAAAAACACGTATTACTTATAAAAAAGAATGAAATGGAGAAAATGGACACAACCCCAGCAAAGTAATCAAAATGAACATCGCTGATAAAGGCAGACATTGTGTTCCTCCCATGTGACACCTGAGAAGGATGCAATATCACTTCTGTGGTGTTCAAGTCAAAAGCACTTAATATGTATCTAATCATGAGGAAATACCAGAGAAACACCAATGAATAAATAGACTTCTAAAAATAGACTTTATTTGTTAGAGCAATTTTAGATTTGCAGCAAGATTGAGTACAAGGTACAGAGATTTTCCATATACTGCCCAGCCCCCCGTGGTTCACAACCCGCTGGGGAGCTTCCTGGGTGAAATCTGACACTGAATGTGAGGGGAGGGGGCAGGGAGAGATGGAAGAAAAAGGCGGGCCACTCCAGGTGGGTGGATAGCAGTTTTAATAGCAAAAGGAACTTACACACAAAGGCTTGTCTTGGGCGGCAGCATCAGCATCAGCATTGGATCCCCGCACCTGCCCACCACATCTGAAGTTTATAAAGAGGACTTACATGGGCTTAGTCAAGTATAGTGTGCAGGTGTTCTCAACACCACATCACTATCCCAAGGCTGTGTCCTTGGAGTAGCTTGTGGGAGCAGGAAAGGCATGGGGAACCCACATTCCAAAGAAGGGAGTGGGTGAGTCACCTTCCATGTTCAACTCACAGGTTGATAGGCAGTCATGTCTTTTTGATGACCTCCCCCAACACCCCTGCCTCCACATATGCACAGCCTTCTCCAATATCAAAATTCTGCACCAGAGTGGCACATTTGTCACAATCAGTGAAGCTACATTAACACATCATCACCCAAAGTCCACAGCTTACATTAGGGCTCACTCTTGGTGTCGTACATTGCATGGGTTTTGACAATTGTATGATGACACTTATCCACCATTATAGTTTTGCTGCCCTAAACATTGTTCTGTGCCCATTGATCCGTGTCCCCCCAATGCCTGGCAACCACTGATCCTTTCACTGCCTGCCTTCATAGTTTTGCCTTTTCCAGAAGGTCATACAGTTGTAATCATATAGTATGTAGCCTTTTCATATTGGCTTCTTTCACTTAGTAAAATGCGTTTACATTTCCTCCATGTCTGTCTGTGGCAGGATAGCTCATGTCTTGTTAATGCTGAATAATGTTCCATTGTCTGGATAAATTATACAGTTTCTTTATCCATTCACTTATTGAAGGACATCTTGTTTGCTTCCAAGTCTTGGTGGTTATGAATAAAACTGCTGTCAACATTTGTGTACAGGTCTTTGTGTGCACATAAATTTTTCACTCATGTCAGTAAATACTAACAAGAGCAATTGATTGCTGGATGGTGTGGTAAGAGTATGTTCAGTTTGGTAAGAAACTGCCAAACTGTCTTCCAAAGTGGCTGTGCCATTTTGCATTCTCACAGCAATGGACAAGAGTTCCTGCTGCTCCACATCTTTGTCAGCATTTGGTGTTGTCAGTATTTTGGATTTTGGCCATTCTAATAGTTGTTTGCGGCTCGCATTGTTGTTTTGGCCTGTATTCTTGAAAAATGTCAATGGCATAATGAGAAAAGCTGAAGAAAAGAAAAGCTAAAAGATTAGAGACCACTACATTGTGGAGACAAATAGATACAATACATAATTCTGGACTACACTCTGTTCATGGAGGGGAAAAACATAAAAGACATTATTAGGACAGTTGACAAGACTGGAATAGGGAATGTAGATTAAATTATTCTATTAATATGAAATTTCCTGGATTTGACTATTGTCTAATTTTGTTTTTAGGACCTACAAACTGAAAGATTAAGGGTCAAGTAGGCTTAATGTATGCAACCTGCTTGCAAATGATTCAGGAAAAAAATATATAGATAAATTTAAAGAAAGGAAATGTGGCATAATATTAGCAATTTGGAATGTGGATCATGGATACATAAGAGTTGTTTGTACTTTCCTTGCAACTTTTCTGCAAATTATTTAAAAAATAAAAAGTTTAAAGAATTAGAAAAATAATAGTTCTGCCTTTAACATTCCATCCATATCTTTTGATGCACACACACATTTCTCGATCAATATTCTGAAGAGTGGAATCGCGGGCTCAGGGTGTGTGCGTCTTCAACTTGATCAGCTAAATAGCTTACAAAGTGCCACTGACATCCTTATTAATTTTATTTATTCTTCCTCTCACTGAAATATAAGGTCGTTGGCAGTGTTATCAAAGTGTAGGTCTTGGGCCCTCAGCATCAGCCTCACCAGGGTGCTGGTTAGAACTGCAAATCCTCAGACCCTCACTCCAGACTTGCTGAGTCAAAAACGCTGAGAGCACGGCCTAGAAATCTGCGTTTTCACAAGTCTTCTAAGTGATGAGAAAGTTTAAGTCGCGCTGTGATCCGTTAGGGCCGCGCCTGGCTTGCAGGCCGCCAGCTCCAAACAGATGAACAGTGGAGCCCGGGAGCCCGGGGGCCTGGGTTAGACGACGCAGAACCAGAGGGCAGCGCGCCATCCCCAGGGCACCGTCCCCGCGCCGGCAGCTTGTCCCGGACCCCCCGGCTGGGTGGGGAAGGGCTGCAGGACGGGGCGGGCCGGAGGCTGCTGTCCCCGCCTCCCAAGCCTTGGGCTCGCCGCGTTGCGCAGTCCTCCGCCTTCCTTGCCTTCTCGTCCCCCTCCTTCCTTCTTTCCTTCCTTTCTTCCGCCGGGCGCGATGGAGCCGGGGCGCGGGGCTGCCGCGGCGCTGCTGGCGCTGCTGTGCGCGGGCTGTGTGCTGCGCTGCGGGCGCGCCCAGTACGAGCGCTACAGCTTCCGCAGCTTCCCGCGGGACGAGCTGATGCCGCTCGAGTCGGCCTACCGGCACGCGCTGGACCAATACAGCGGCGAGCACTGGGCGGAGAGCGTGGGCTACCTGGAGATCAGCCTGCGGCTGCACCGCCTGCTACGCGACAGCGAGGCCTTCTGCCACCGCAACTGCAGCGCGGTGCCCCAGCCCGAGCCCGCCGCCGGCCTCGCCCACTACCCGGAGCTGCGCCTCTTCGGGGGCCTGCTGCGCCGCGCGCACTGCCTCAAGCGCTGCAAGCAGGGCCTGCCAGCCTTCCGCCAGTCGCAGCCCAGCCGCGAAGTGCTGGCTGACTTCCAACGCCGGGAGCCCTACAAGTTCCTGCAGTTCGCCTACTTCAAGGCAAGTCGGCCCGCTCCGCCCCCAGGCCCGGGCTCCGCCCCCAGGCCCGGGCTCCGCCCCTCCCTCTGGGGCAGTCCCGCACCGCCTTTCCCGATTCAGCCTACTCCCACCCGGCGTTGCCCAAGGAAGCTTCCAAATCCTGTCCCTCCCTTCATCTTAAATAGGGATGAAAATACTTTTCTGGAAGGGTTATTCTGGAGCAGAGAATACGTACACAGAGCGTCTAGCCATCCAACAGTGCCTGATAAATGTTACCTGTTATTTGAAGACAGACTCGTCTTTTCTGTACATATCATTAAAACCCCTTTTTCTCAAGTAAGCGGTGACTTTCAGTAATGGAGGGGAAGAGGACCTGAGTTGCCGGCTAGTTCCCTTTAAAGAGGAGGAAGTTGAGGCCAGGACAGGGCAGGGGCTTTTCGGGAGCACACACCCTGCCTAGAGGAGCAGAACTGTGCATTGTGATTCATCAGGATTGGTCCCGGCTCTCTTTCATCTAGAATTTAACACAGTTGTCTTCCTCCTTCTTTGTGGCTGCTTAAATTCTGTGATTGCTAGGGTGCCTGGGTGGCTCAGTTGGTTAAGCGACTGCCTTCCGCTTAGGTCATGATCCTGGAGTCCGAGGATCGCGTCCCACGTCGGGCTCCGTGCTCAGCAGGGAGTCTGCTTCTCCCTCTGACCCTCTTCCCTCTCGTGCTATCTCTCATTCTCTCTCTCTCAAATAAATAAATAAAATCTTTAAAAAAAATTCTGTGATTGCTGGCTAAAAATAGCCACAAATTGCAGTTCTTGATCCTTGGAGTCCTTTCTCTGGGGACCCGCAAATTTTAAGAATGGGCTGAATGCCCTGTTCCTGGATAAAGCGACTTTATCTTGGCGGATCCTTACCAGGTTTTGCCAAGAAAGCCCTCTCAAAGTCCAGGTTCTACTTTATCTAATTAAAAGCGATTTTTAAAGGAATATATTGCATTTATTTTAATGACTACAAAAATAGATTCATGGCATATTCCAGACTCTGGAGGTAGAAGTTGTTTTGTTTTGAAACTTTGCTTTGAGTCTTTGGACTGCAAGATCTGTTTTTCATATTTCTGAAACAGAGCCACCTTATGTTGTTGCATTCATAAGAGCAGTAAAAAAGCACAAAACCCTAAATAGGTGAAAAGCTGAGTTATTTCTGTGCTTACATTTTATAAAGTATCGGTTTTGTGAATGTTTGTCCTGGCAATAAAAAAAATGGTTTTAAAATAGAACCAGGAGATAAGATTAATAAAGCTCCAGGACATTGAAAAATGGTTGGCTCTTAAGGGACTGTGTTTTAAGCTAAAAATGGCTCATTTAATTCTTTTTTGTGTAGCTTTTGCCAGATACTGTCTGAACCAAATTTGTTTTATAATCAAGGGGGAAATGTTTTATTTTTTAAAACTGGAGGATAGTAGAAGCTGATTTATCTACAGATGAATTTGAAACAAGTGATATAGGGAGGAGGGGAAGAGTATTTTACTTAATGTGACCAGAAGGCAAAGGTTTTCTCCTTCATGATGGTGTCCTCAAAGGTCAGGATGGTCACAGCTATTCTTCAAAACCTCTCACCGGTCTTGTAACAATCACTTACTTAAAGTAGGTGAAATGCCATCTGTCTTGGTATTTTGAGATCTCTTAAAGGACAGGAAAGGTTCAGGATTTTGTTAGTAAGCCAGGATCTTCAGTTAGTTGCTTCAGCTGAAAGTCACTGAAGAAATGATTTGAGGTGGTGTTACTGTATGGTTTATTTTTTTCCTTAATGATGTTTCTGTTGTCCAACTCGGTGTGTGGGTATGAGGACATGATTGGTGGCAGGCACATACACTGTGCCGGGCACCCGAAGGCTGGAGGCTGGTGCCGGAGACAAAGCTGTCTGCTGTGGCAGGGCTGAGCAGTGTTCTTGTGCTGCCCTGGTTTGCAGGCCTCCGTTTCACTGATTAAGGACAGATGTCTCAGTTGAACACACGGGTGGGGATGGTGGGTTTGGCCTGTCAGAGGGAGGTAAAGACGCACGGATGTGTGGTCTTGCAGAGAAGGTGCTCCTGGTGGGTAGCCCTGAAGCCCACCATAGGGGTTTATGTCATCAGCCCATCTTAGGTCCACACCATCAGCTGTGGGTTCCCTCCGGGGCTGCATCTCTGTGAAATGCCCATCTTCCCCGTAGGCCGAGCAAAAAGTGTGCCCCCACGCTTGATCAAATCTTTAATGACTGTTAAACTCTGAGCGGGTAGAGCTGGCCCCCTCCCAGGCACTCCTACCCCCCACCTTGCCTGGACAAGGACTCTGTCTCCCCACCCCCACCCCCACCCCTAGCCACAGGGCCTGCCACCACATTGAGGTCGATTTAGGAGTAGCTTGTTTGGTAGGTAGCTGGGGTCCTCTCATGCAGGTGGCTGTCTCTCCAGAGTACCTGGGAGGGTAGTGCTCCCACCAGCTTCTCCAGAACCTACCTGGCTTTCTGTCAGCAGGTTAGCTGCCAAGATGTGGCTCCATGTTCCAGCTGGCAGGGCCCAAGCGGAAGTGAATAAATCACCCTTTCCTCTCCAGGAAGGGGTTCTGTTTTGTTAAAACTCAGGTCCTAAAAAATCCCTTTCTGTGCCCCTTTTCTAAGTGCTCTTCTGAGAATTAGACAATCTCAGTTCATTGGCAAATGCTTTAGAGGGCTGCATTCGTACGTCCTCCCCTCCTTGTAGCTGGCAGACTAGCCTTTTTCTGGCCAGGGGTGTAAGGCGTTCTGTAGAACTCTTTGAAAGGCATTCCCACATAGGCCACTGACTGGCGCTTCCAGAACATCAGCACTGACACCTGGGAGTTTGCCCTCATTACTACCCAGCCCTTCTCCAGTGCAGCCGCTGCCTTGTCTCCACGTGACTCAGCACCAGTCCTGTTTCATACAGATAATCTGCTACCATCTGATTCTCAGAAATCCAGAATGTACCAGATATTCCTTTATTTTCTCTCTGCAAACCTAATTCCCTAATTCCCACCTCTGAGCGTTGCCCTGGATTGGCTGGAGGAGTCTCTGTGCACATGTAGGGTGCCTTCCCTTCTCCCACAGCATGTCATGCCATGATTCCAGGGGACAGCCAGAGACAGCACATTAGCGCGGGGGCCCACTGCTTGTTGGCCAAGTGTCCACACAGGGAGGTGTCCGTATCGCTCTAGCCCATACCCCCCAACACACAGTTCCCCCCAGAGGACCTCTGCCCTCTGGGCACTGTCCACAAGGGGGCCAGACCTGAAGCTCCAGGGCCAGAGACCTTAATCGAGGTTGCTCAGAGATACATGGAAGCATACTGGAGTGTATCGCACATGGAGGCAGGGTTTTCTTCCCCTGTTTTTGCTCATTGTTACAGACCCACTTTCTAGGATAGCACCTGGCGTGTAGGAGGCTCTCGACAAATGTGTGCTGAGTGAACAGATGAGTGCATGGTGGTGGGGGTCATCGAGAATGGTAAAGCAGGAGGTTCTGTGAGAGACTTGGGAAAATAGTTATATATTTGGAGATATATCATATATATATATTTCCACTATATATATATTGGAAAATATTAATATATTTTTCCAGCAGAAAAGGTGTGGTGTAGTCCCACTGGGTAATTAGAGGGATGTTGAAAGGTGATTATTTACAAAGGCTAGTAATGGTGGATGTGACTCCCCCTGGGCCAAAAAAGGCACTGGAGAGGAAAGTTCCAGGAAGCAGGAAGGAGCGAGACTATCCAGAGAGGGCCACCTCGAGAGGAGCTGTGACCTTCAGTTAAGGGCCAATAGCGGCCCAAGGTGACTGAAAGGAGGGAGCCAGGAGATTAAGTAACCCAACTTACCCCCTTGCCTTCCTTCGGGCTCCCACTGGGGCTCCTCACTGGTGAACCCCATTGGAAGCTGGAGAGCAAGAGAGTGCAAGGCTTGATGGGCCATGGAAGTCACTGAACCCTCAACTGGAAGCATTGTGTTGAAACACAGAGTTACATGAAGGACTGAACATTTCTTGTTTTGCAAAAATCACTGCTCATCCTCCATTGAGTAGAGCTCCTCTTACTTTGTTGTACTCAGGCGAATAATCTTCCAAAAGCCATTGCTGCCGCTCACACCTTTCTACTGAAGCATCCTGATGATGAAATGATGAAGAGAAACATGGCGTATTACAAGAGCTTGCCTGATGCCGAGGACTACATTAAGGACTTGGAAACCAAGTCATTCGAGGTATATTTGGGTTTTTACACAGCAAGGTAGCTGCAGTGTGAGTGGCTAAAGAAGTGGATCTTGATGAATAGCTATTGACATCTAAGGACCTCTAATGGTTTTTGATGGCATTGATGAATATTATGACAATGGAAATGATTGACTTTTTAGCACAAAGTTGACCCATTTGAGAATGAGGTTTTATGTTCCATGATGCACTTAAAGCCACGTTTCCTTTAAATGCTGTATTTTAGAAATAAGGTCATTTTGGGGTGCCTGGGTGGCTCAGTCGGTTAAGTGTCTGACTCTTGATTTCTGCTCAGGTCATGATCTCAGGGTCGTGAGAGCAAGCCCCATGTCAGGCTCCTCGCTCAGTGGGGAGTCTGCTTGGGATGCTCTCTCTTTCTCTCCCTCTGTCCCCCTCCACTCCTGCTCTCCCTCCCTCTATAAAATAAATAAACCTTTTTTTTTTTAAGAAATAAGGTCATTTGATCATTTAGTTTTAAGATAGAGGAATAAATACATGTCTTGGAGATCATCCAAAAATGACCAAGAATACAAGAAACAGGAGCATAAGTTTCCATTTCTGATGAAACTAGAAGACACATCTTTTTACACACACACACACACACACACACACACACACACACACACACCGTATGTATTGAGGTGGAAAGGGAATCGAGGATCTTGGAGGACTGACTTGACAGATTAGAGGCTACTACTGAAATCTAGGCATCTGTGAAGGGGAGTCTGATGGGATTGAATGAGGAAGACTAACTCCTTTGAGCACTTACTGTTGTCCAGATCTATCGAGTTTGGATGCCAGGGGCATGGGTACCAAGGAAGGGTTAGGGCAGGGTTGAAAACAGTGGGATGTGTTGAAAGTATCCAAGGACTGACTTTAGGGTTACCAGTCGTGTGACCAGACTGCAAACTTACTTTGTCATTGGTGGTGACCCTCAAATATAGGATGCAGGGTCTCTATTCTGGTGGCCCTTCAGTTTTCCAGGGAAGAATTCTCCAGCCTTTTGCAGGACTAGTGAAGTGTCATGCTTGTCTGCCTGTGTCCGAGAGCCAGTCTGGGGAGAGGGGTGGGGCCCTCATAGCTGAGTGAGGGACTTTACCTGCTTCTTGGTTCTTAGCCTCATGCCTCAACTCTCGCTCTGCTCTGCCTGATCCCTGACCCTACAGCCTTTATAGATAGAGAGTCTCTAGAATAAATCACCAGTCTCTGGTGAGGAGCAGCTTTGGGAGGTGGGATCCCTTGGGTGCACAGATGGGTGGGGCTCCAACAGCCCTGTTCAGACTTTCAGCCCTGCCTTCTGTTCTGGGCCTAGCACCAGTCTCTGTGGTTGCTAGTGCCTGCAAATGCCGACAGGTGTGTGATGTAGTGGAGTGCATAGTGGGGGAGGGGAGGTCGCCTCCCCCCAGACCCTCCTCTGTGATTATTTGGCTTTCTGTCCTTCTAAAAGTTGAAATGTCTTGCCTGCTGCTGGCTCTTTTTCCATTCTCCCGTGAAAAGGATTTCTGCCTGTGGTTTTCACTGGTCCTGGGGAGCAGAGCTGAGTGCTCATGGTCAGTGCACTATGCCTAACTCCTTCCCTCTTTGGAGTCCTGCCAGGTGTGGTGGGGCTGCCCGGCTGTGTGCCCAGGGCTCCCCCTGCCATGCATGGCTTTCTTTTTGCTGCTGCCACCCTGCCGCCCCTGCAGAGCCAGCTGCCTGACGTTGCTGCTCGTTTTCCCAGCCTCTAGGCAAGTGGTTCAGTTCTCTGCCTGCCTGATTTCCAGGGGATGCTGCCTGCCCAGGAGGTCTAGGGGAGATCACCCTCTCTCCCTGACACCTTAAGCTTGGTGAAGAGTTCCGGTCTGAGGGGTGGTCCTTAGACACCCCCATTCTGGAGCAGCTGAAAAGGAGCTCTAAATGGAGTGTGCCACGCTTATTTCCAGGACTGTTCTGGACCCTCCACGTGAGCAGGGTCGTGCAGGTGCCCAAGATCTCTACTTATTTCTTGTGAGACCAAGCAGCTTCCTCAGCCTTCATTACCTCTCTTTTATCTGGTCCAGTCAACAGGTAGCAGAAATTTCTTGAAGTTCCACCATCCAGCCCATGGCCGCCCCCCTAGTAACTAGTACTAATGCTTGTTGGCATTCCTATTTTATACTTAACTGTTGGGGGAAGTGTATCTGGCACCCGCTCTAAAGCTTATATCTTTTCTCTGCTTCAGTTTTGAAGATCAGCTTTATTGAAGTAGAACTTATTTAAAATTTATTTACCAGTTTTAAGTATATAACTCGATGAGTTTTGGTAAAGGTATGCGAGTATGTAACCACCACCATAGTCACAACATAGAATATTTTCATCTCCCCTTCCCAGTCAAGCATTTGTCCCAACCCCTCACCTTCGGAGGCCACTGCCCTGATTTCTGTCACTCTAGCTTTTCTTTTTTTCTTGATTTGAATTTGATTTTATTATCAAGCACCTCCTACTTTTTGAATTAAATTAAATAAGAAGTGTGCCCTTGTACATAGGATAGAAAAAGCTAGATATAAGTCAGTTCCTGGCCGGCCTCATCTTTAAGTAAGGGTCGGCGTGGTTTCCTTGGGACCAATGAGAGTGGAATTCCACGGTGGTCTGACTCCTTTCAGTTGGACGGCCTGCCTCCTTCCTGTCTGGGAGCTTCACCCACCTCTTCTTGCTTTCCAGAGCCTGTTCGTCCGGGCGGTGCGGGCCTACAACGGCGAGAACTGGAGGACGGCCGTCACGGACATGGAGCTGGCCCTTCCCGATTTCTTCAAAGCCTTTTACGAGTGTCTCGCAGCCTGCGAGGGCTCCAGGGAGGTCAAGGACTTCAAGGATTTCTATCTTTCCATCGCAGGTTGGTGGCGGGCAGTATTACACACGTGAATGGGACAGCTGCCCTGTGGCATCCGCATGCCTTCCTGGTGGCTTGAGTGACTCCGAGGAATTTTTTTTTAAGATTTTATTTCTATATTTGACACACAGAGAGAGCAAGGGAGCGAGCACAAGTAGGCAGAGTGGTAGATAGAGGGAGAGGGAGAGGCAGACTCCCCGCTGAGCGGGGAGCCCGATGGGGGGCTCATGACCTGAGCCAAAGGCAGATGGTCAACGGACTGAACCACCCAGGCGCCACTGAACCACCCAGGCGCCCCTCCAAGAAACTTTTGAGCTTCAGTGTGAATGGTGGCTGGGGAGGTAATATGTAACCCACACGTCCAGACTTTGATTTAGTAGGGGTTTCTGGAAAAACACCTGAGTATGGTGTTTAATCAAGCACAGGTCTGGAAAGGGGGTCCAGCAGATCAGCCCTGCCTGGTTACAGATCCCCCACAGGCTTTTGGAAAAATAAAAATGGGCCCAAGAGCAACTCATGACTCACGTTATATAAAACGTTACTAGTTTAGCCACCCTTAAGAGTGCAGTCCAGTGGCATATAATACATGCGCATTGATGTGCGGCCACCTCTGCTGTCCATGTCCACCACCCATCATTTCATCTTCCCAAACGGATGTTCTGCACCCACTAAACACCATCTCCCCATCCTTCTGCCCATAGCCCCTGACAACCACCACCCTGCTTTCTGTCTCTGTGAATTGGACTACCCCATGTACCTTGGATACGTAGAATCCTGTAGCATTTGTCCTTTTGTGACTGGCTTATTTCACTCAGCAAAACGTCTTCCAGCCTCAGAAATAATGTAGCAAATTGGTTGTCTTTTAAATCTCTTTTAACTGGTAGGTTCTTCCTCTATGTCTATTTTGCCCCCGTGGCTATTGAAAAAAACCAGATCATTCGCCCTGTAGAGATTCCCATAGTCTGGATTTTGCTAATTGTATCCCCTTGGTCCGCTGTTCTCTTTATTTCTTATAACTTTGTAGCTGGATGTAGAGGCTTGATCGGGCTCAGGTTTGATTTTCTTTTTTTGTGGAAGTTGGGGCACAAGACGGCTTCCTAGTTGGTGCTCAGTTCTTGTGTCAGGAGGCACCGGGTGTCTGGTTGTCTCTTTCTCTGTAATGTTGACAGCTGCTGGTGCTCATGCTGGACCTCATGTAGTACCTGTTAACCAGTGTACCTCTGCTGGTGAGAGGTCATTCCTTCCAGCATCCCTTCCTGCCTGTAATGTCAGGAAGTACTCCTTACACTCAAACTGAAGGAGGGGGACAAAAAGGGTGCTTACTTGGAGCTGCAGTGTTTTGACTATAGATAAAAGACAGTTACTAGAAAAAGTAACATTTACTATGCTCTAACTAGATGCCAGGCCCTGTTCTATGCTCTTTATGGGTATTATCTCGAGTTTGCAACCCTATGAGAAAGGTACTAGCATTCTCCCCATTTTACAGCTGGGAAAGCTGAGGCCTAGAGAGGTTAAGTACTCTGCTTGTTGTCCTCAGGGGAAGGGCTGGGATTTGAACCCAGGCAGTTTTGACTGGAGTCTTACCTCTTAACCCCAGTGAAATAGTTTCACCTCACCTACATTGTACTTAATCTTGAACTTTATTTCATTTTTGAATAGGTAACATATATGCACATAGTATAAATTGTGAAAGACACAAAAGGATATACTGTAGAAAATAAGTCTTCTGTATAGTCAGGGTCTTGACTGGAGATAGATGGCAGACATACATGAGGATACCTCAAGATGGATTTATTTACAGAAGTATGGGTGAAGGTGAACCCCAGGGGTGCAAACTGATACCCTGGAGCTACTAGTAGCTGAGTTATTATTTCCTAGGCTGAAGGGGAGGAAGGAGTTACAGGCAGTTGGAAGGAAGTCTTGCTTCTATCCACATCTCTTCTACCCATTCCACTCACCCCAAAGGTAACCATTTTTTTTAAAGATTTTATTTATTTATTTGAGAGAGAGAATGAGAGTGAGAGAGAGCATGAGAGGGGGGAGGTCAGAGGGAGAAGCAGGCTCCCCGCTGAGCAGGGAGCCCGATGTGGGACTCGATCCCGGGACTCCAGGATCATGACCTGAGCCGAAGGCAGTCGCTTAACTGACTGAGCCACCCAGGCGCCCCAAAGGTAACCATTTTTATTAGCTTCTGGCTTATACCTCTAAAAGTTTTTTTTTTTCCTACAAAAATAAGCAAAGATCACTTTTTCTTTGATCTACCTAAGATATATCTCTATAACTCTATCTTTATATGTAGATAGATAACTTGAGAAAATTTTTTTGTTTTAAATTTTTATTTTAAAATAATTTTTTAGTTTTAGTTTTTATTTTAATTTTTTATTTTTAAGTAATTCCAAACCTGTAGAGAAGTAGCAAGAGTAGTACAAAGAACTCTCATAAACTCTTTAGCCAAATTCACCAATTTTTCACACTGATTATGTCACATTTACTTCATCATTCTCTCTGGATGTGTGTGTATAATTATTTTTATTTCAGAACCACTTGAGAGTACGTTGTATACATCATGACCCTTTACCCCATAATACTTCAGTATATTTCCTAAGAATAACAATATTCTGCAAGACTCCACAATACAGTTACTGAATTCAGGCAATTTAATATTGAGACAGTACTTTTATACAATCTATAGTTTATATTCCAATTTTCTCCATTATTCCAATAATGTCCTCTAGGAGCTTTTTCTTTCCTGGTGAAGTGCAGTCCAATATCATGTTTCCTATTTATTTCTCATTTTTCTTCAGTGTTCTTTAATCTGGAACAGTTCCTTGGCCTTTCTTTTTATGCCATTGTTTTTTTTTTTTATGCTATTGATATTTTTTTAAGAATATAGGCTAGGGGCGCCTGGGTGGCTCTGTCCATTAAGTGTCTGCCTTTGGCTCAGGTCGTGATCCCAGGGTCCTGGGATCGAGCCCTGCATCAGGCTCCCTGCTCAGCGGGGAGTCTACTTCTCCCTGTCCCTCTGCCTGCCACTCTCCCTGCTTATGCTTGCACTCACTTGCTCTCTCTATCTCTGTCAAATAAATAAATAAATAAATAAAATCTTTAAAAAATATATAAGAATACAGGCCAGTCACTTTATAGAATATTCCTCAATTTGGGTTCCTATTACATTCAGGTTGTGCACTTTTGGCTGGAACACTATGGAAGTATGCTTCTCGGGGTATCCCATCTAGATGCGTGTGGTGTCTGTTTGCCCCTTACTGGTGATGTTCACTTTTAAGCATTTGGTTAAGGTAATTTCCAGTTTCCAACTTCTCAGCAATACTATTTTTCCTTTTGATATTAATAAATAATTTGGGAAAAGATACTTCAAGACGAGGACAATTTGGTCTTCATCAGACTGTCTCTACATTCTCCCCTACTACCAAACACATACCAATTTAGTGTGTATTGAAGATTCTTGCCTGATTCTTTGTTTTCTATAAAGGTCATATATATATATATGTACGTCTGTTTTTCTGTATTTTTTTGTTTGCTTTTTTCACACTGAATAGGTACCATATTTTATACACTGTTCTGTTCTTTGCTTTTTCCACTTAGCAGTATACCCTAACTAGCACATAGAGAGAGTCATTCTTTTTTGTTGTTGCTGACTACTCCACTGAGGGGTGCAGGGAATGATGCACCACAGTTTATTCAACTATCTGATGGACATTTGGTTTGTGCCAATCTTTTGCTATTACATGTAATACTGCAATGGGGAACTTTAGGCATTTTCTTTTTTTTTCTTTTCTTTTTTTTTCTTTTCTTTTCTTTTCTTTTCTTTTTGTTAAGTGTGGAGGTATGTTTTCAGAATCAACATAAGTGGGATTAATAGTTCAAAGAGTAAATATTTCTGCAAATTATTTCGTATTTTAAGTTACCATTTTGTATTCCTAGCAAAAATGTGTGAGAGTGCCTGTCCTCCCCAGTCTTGCCAACAAAACGTGTACCATCATCATGGAGTCTTTTGCCGCTAGCTACCTGAAGGGAGAAAAAGGAGGGGGCCAAGGATCATGTGGAGGATTTTAGGGACCAGTCCTTAAAGCGGTAGAAGTAGCGTTCATTAGTTGTTGCGGTCCACATTTCAATGGCACAACCAGTCATGTGGCCCCAACCCAACTGCAAGGGAGGCTGAGAAATGTAGTTTTTGATGTCTTTCTCTGTTATCATATTTAGGTCTACCTATTCTCTTTTAAAGGCTGTATAGAGGGGCACCTGGGTGGCTCAGTCGGTTAAGTGTCTGCCTTTGGCTCAGGTCATGATCCCAGAGTCCTGGGATCGAGTTCCGCATTGGGCTCCCTGCTCCTTGGGGAGCCTGCTTCTCCCTCTGCCCCCCGCATCTCTCATGAATAAATAAATAAAATCTTTTAAAAAAATAAATAAAGGCAGTATAGATTCTGTTGTTTGTATATACCATAATTGATTAATCACTATCCTATTGATTGGCATTCAGGTTCTTTCCAAGTCTATTTGTTGTTGCAAATAATGCTTATGTGTGCCCATGTCTAAAGAAAATTTCCTAGAAGTAGACTGCTGGGCCAGAGGATATGTGCATTTTAACCTTTGATGCATTTTGCCAAATGGCTCTCCAAAAAATGTGTTCCTGTTTTGCTTCTACCAACAGACTATGAGAGTGTAAGTTTCACCATTTTCTCCCTAACAGTGGGTGTTAGCAAATTTTTTTTTTAAAGATTTTATTTATTTATTTGACAGAGAGAGACACAGCGAAAGAGGGAACACAAGCAGGGGGAGCGGGAGAGGGAGAAGCAGGCTTCCCGTGGAGCAGGGAGCCCGATGCGGGGCTCGATCCCAGGACGCGAGGATCATGACCTGAGCCGAAGGCAGACGCTTAACGACTGAGCCACCCAGGCGCCCCTGTTAGCAAATTTTTTTAATTTTCCCAATTTAAATGACAGATGGGAGCTACACTTGTGGTGAGCACAGCATAATGTATAGACTTGTTGAATCACTGTGTTGTACACCTGAAACTAACGTAACGTGTGTGTCAACCCTACTTCAACAAAACTTTTTTTTGTAGTTTTTTTTTTTTTTGCCAATTTAGCAGTTTAAAATATTTTAGGTGGGATTGCGTTCCTTCATTACAAATGAGGCTTAACATCTTTTCACAGTGTTTATTAGCCATTTTTACAGTTTCTTTTCTGTGAACATCCTTTGGCCATTTTATATTGGATGTTTGTTTTTTTCTTACGGATTTTTTTTTAAGATTTTATTTATTTATTTGACACAGACAGACACAGCGAGAAAGGGAACACAAGCAGGGAAAGTGGGAGAGGGAGAAGCAGGCTTCCCGGCGAGCAGGGAGCCCGATGTGGGGCTCGATCCCAGGACCCTGGGATCATGACCTGAGCCGAAGGCAGACACTTAATGATTGAGCCACCCAGGCGCCCTTTCTTACGGATTTTAAAGAACTTTGTATATTAAGGGTTTTAGCCCTTTTATCATAAGTGTTGCAAGTATTTTACCTTTATCATCTTTACATTTTACCCGGATCGTTGAGGGGGGCAGAAGCGGTACTGAGAAGCTGATGGATGCACTGCTCTGAGAATTTGTGTATCTTCTTTCAGATCATTACGTAGAGGTGTTGGAATGCAAACTACAATGTGAAAAGAACCTCACCCCCGTTATAGGAGGCTATCCGGTGGAGAAATTTGTGGCCACCATGTATCATTATTTGCAGTTTGCTTATTACAAATGTAAGTAATTATCTTCTACCAGATCTTGGGCAAGGCCCTTAATCCTCCTAAGACTCAGCTTCCCCATCTGTAAAAAATCGGGGTAATAACCCTGACCTCTGGTTGTTGAGAGAATCCGTCAAGGTCGCATTGACAGCCCTGGTGCGTCCTTTGCACGAAAAGGCAGCAAGGCCTGGTGATTCCGGGCGCGGCGCCTGGAGCCGGACTGCCTGGGTTTACATTTCAGCTTCATCACTTCCTAATTTCTCTGTGCCTCAGTTTCCTCATCTGTAAATTGGAGATAATTTGTACTAACCTCATCAGTTGCTACGTGTGGACCGCTTAGGGCAGTCGTACACTAGCATGTGGCATTATCTCCTCCCTATCATCCACCTTCCCTTCCAGACAGTTTTATCCCACTTGGTCCTCCTTGGGCCTGAAATTCGAGTTAATCGATCAGAACATTCCAAGGAGTCGAAGGAAAACAAAGAGAAAGTGATTCGGAGTTCAGGCTTCAGAGTCTGTCTCTTTGCCTTTTCCTCCTCTCCCCGTAACTGATGTCATCTGAGTGGGGATACTGTGGTGGTGACGCGCACAGGAGGATCCCTCCCGATCAGGGACGTGCTCGCTGCCTGGAGTGACCGGTGACCTTGGCTCCCACAGCCCCCTTTCCCCACTGTGGCTGTTTTGTTCTTTGTTGAGTTCTCTCTGCTTGCAACAACCACCTCCTGTCCTCTGCAGGATGTCTGCTGAAGGTTGAAAAAGGGACAAAAAAAGAAAAAAGAAAAAAGGGAAAAAAAGAAGAAAATTTTCTTCTATATGTATATACATAAATTTTTAATTTTGCTAATCAGGATTGTTCCTGAGAAGGCTCTGGAGCAGTCATTTACACCAGAGCTTTGTGAGTAAGGGAACTTGCCTCTTTCAGCAGTGAACCAGCTATTATGACAGCCTGAATCTCACCTAAGGGTGTGATGAGATATCCTGAAATGTCCCTTGGTTGGGTCATTTCTGGGATCAACAGGAGGGTGAGGTGTGTCTTCAACAGGTGTCCTTCCCCGTGCACAGAGGGCAGGGATGAAATTTTATTTGCCACTATAATCCTGGCACTAGCTGTTTGTAAAGGATTATTTAGTGTAGAGGACAGGAGTCTTATTCTTTTTTTCTTTTTCTTCTAGAGAGAGATTGAGAGTGAGCTGGGGGTGGGGCAGAGGGAGAGAGAGAATCCCAAGCAGGCTCCATGCTCAGCACGCAGCCTGACATGGGGCTCAATTCTTCTACCCCGAGATCATGACCTGAGCCGAAATCAAGAGTCAGATGCCCAACTGACTGAGCCACCCAGGCGCCCCAAGTCTTATTCTGTAGAATCTAGGAACACGCTTTCACATAAGACCCACCAAGCTCACAGTGGGTCCCCAGCAAATATTTATTTGGCTGCGTTCTAATGCTGGAGGGACAGTTATTCTACTAGGCAGTGTTTTTGCTTATGAAGAGCCCTCTTTTTTAGTGTAAGTGATTGGTTAGTGCTGTGTTACAAAAAGACTTGTAGTATAGGCTTTTACAGCAAACCGAACATCTCAGAGATGTACAGAGAAACACCCAAAGCAAACCACCCATTCCCATCTCCCCTCCTCCCCCAAATCCCTCTGTTAACTCTTCGCTTGTATTCATCCACACTTGGAAGAGCCCTGTTTTAATGAGAATTATGGAAACTTATGTACATTTTATTTTTTTTTAAGATTTTATTTATTTGAGAGAGAGAGAGAGAGCATGAGCAGGATGAGGGTCAGAGGGAGAAGCAGACTCCCCGCTGAGCAGGGAGCCTGACGTGGGGCTGGATCCTGGGACTCCGGGACCATGACCTGAGCTGAAGGCAGATGCTTAATCAACTGAGCCACCCAGGTGCCCCAAGTTATGTACATTTAAAAAACTTATTCTGGAAAAAAAAGCAACCTTATTCTGGAAATTTAAAAGTGTACATTAGAGAGGATGGTATAATGAACTGTAGTATGCCCATCACCCCACTTGAATTTTGATCAACACTTTGCCAATCTTGGATTCACAGTTTAAAAGTTTTCTGCTGGGGCGCCTGAGTGGCTCAGTCGGTTAAGCGACTGCCTTCAGCTCAGGTCCTAGGATCGAGCCCCGCATCAGTCTCCCTTTGCTCAATGGGGAGCCTGCTTCTCCCTCTCCCACTGTCCCTCCCCCTGCTCATTCTCTCTCTTTCTCTCAAATAAATAAACAGAATCTTTTAAAAAAGGAAATAAAAGTTTTCTGTGGATGAAAACATAAGCTGTTGTTGTTTTTTGATAAGCTACTCTTTTTATTTCATTTTCACAAAAACCTGCGTTGGCACCTTCCTGAGCTAGACCCCGAGTTGGACTCTGAAACACGGGGAAGAATCCATCAGGTGTTCCGGCCCTCTGAGCGGGGCTTGGCTCTGCTTGCACAAAGCCAGAACACTAGGAGTTTAGAAGTGTTCATGATCCATGCAGGCTCCTCAGGCAGCGCACTGGTCCTTGGAATCCTCACATGCTCTGAAAGTCGCCGTGCGTATCAGAGACTGTGGCAGTGACTTACAGACACCAGTAGACCAGAACCTCTAGCTCTGCTGGTTGCTTCACGGGAATCTTTGCTTTCTGGGTTTATAGGTAAACAGTATGAGTAAGACGTACTTCTTGAAATTAGCTTCTTGAAAGTCAGCCCTGTTGCGAACTTTTTTGAGATTATCTACCACACTGAATTTTTTGAGGGAAGGTGTTATTTATGCTTGAACCCCAGCCCCGTAGGCCTTGAAATAAGTACCTTTCCCCACCTTGTAGACTTTGTGAATAATCTGTGCCCTGAAGCACTCGGTTTTTAAGGTTGTTGTTACAGGAGACAGCCACTGGGTGGCACAATTTATTCATACCCACGTTTTGGTTACTCCGCCCACCAGCGCTTTAGCAAAGGCAGTGGGTTGAAAATTGGAGCATAGTGTGCCAGGATAAATACCGAGGGGCTTGTGGCTTATCACCTCTTTCCCCTTACCCCGCCCCCCAGCCCGCAAATAAATCCCAACCCCTGCCGATCTCCTGTGCTGAAGGTGCTGTCATAGGCGGGGCAACTCTGAGGAGGGATGCTAGAGGTGGGAACCCCAGTTTCCAGGAGATGTCAACACCAGGTGACTTCAGATCTCTTCCAGGCCAGAAGGCCCACCATCCTTTGGGTCTTCTAGGTTTCGGGTAGCTGTAGGAGGGCTGCCTGGATGTGGGGGTTGTGGTGCCATCCAGATGGGACGCAGGCACATCCTCCCTACCTCCCTCAGCCCCAGGACAGTCCAGGGGACCCAGCTTTCCCAGCTCAGGTCTGTGGAGCCTGAAGTGGAATATAGTAGACATTTCTGGAAAGGCAGATTCTGCCTAATGAGGAACTTCCATGTTCCAAAACCTCTCCCCAGGCTGCCGGGGAGACCCAGTCTGCGATCTGCCCACCCAGGGATAATTCTGGCTGGTCACAGGCTTTGCCAAGGAGGGGCTGTGGAGAAGGGGCTTGCCCATGGATATTTTCTTTAGGAAGCCGTTGCTGCTGAGGGGGATTTCAGGGCACGGTTTGCCAATTTCCTGTGCCTCTTTTCTCCCCGGCCTCAGTGAACGACCTGAAGAATGCAGCCCCGTGCGCAGTCAGCTACCTGCTCTTTGACCACGACGACAAGGTCATGCAGCAGAACCTGGTGTATTACCAGTACCACAGGGACAAGTGGGGCCTCTCGGACGAGCATTTCCAGCCCAGACCAGTAGGTGGCGGGGCACGGGACATCACGTTTGCGGGCCTCCTCTTCTCACTTTAGGGGACTGCTTTGCACCTTACAGGAAAAAGTTATTACAGAAATGAAAGGGAACTCCTTTTTTTCTGTTTTTTTTTTTTTGTCTTTTAACATTTTACTGCTCTATTCTGATTCCTAAATCAGTAAAAACTACCAAACATTACAAAAATGTTTTACTTAGTGAAATTCCCTCAAAATCCCATACCTTTTCTTTACTCCCTGCCTTATAGTTATGCATTTGCATATATATATATATATATCATATATACAGCATGTATTTATTTTTGCAGAAACAGGGTCACACTTTACCTGCTGTTGTGCAACTTGCTTTGTCTTTCCAACAATTCATCATGAACGTTTTCCGTGTCACACTCATACAGCTACTTATTTTTTAACACCTCCAAGATAGATTCGTTTTTGGATGGACCATCATTTAATTCACTTGACGGACAAGCTCAGCTTTGCATGTGTTTGTTTTCAGGGAACTCTAGGGATTATATATTATTATTTTTTAAAGATTTTATTTATTTATTTGAGAGAGAGAGAGTGAGAGAGAGCACGAGAGTGGGGTGAGGGGCAGAGGGAGAAGCAGACTCCCCACTGAGCAGGGAGCCCAATGTGGGACTCGATCCTGGGATTCCGGGATCATGACCTGAGCCGAAGGCAGATGCCCAACCGACTGAGCCACCCAGGTGCCTGGGATTATATATTACTTTTAAAAAGATCTTTTCTAGTTGGTCTTTGCCCTTAACTTGTATTTTCATTGAGATTTTTTTATGCTGTCCCAATTTACCATATACACCTCACTCCCCTGCCAACTCACAGAAACACACACACACAATCTCTCTCTGTCTCTCTCACTCACTTGGGGTTGGCCACTCTTTTTTAACTGAGGTATGTTTCATATACAGTAAAATTCATGCTTTTAAGATGTACAGTTTAGTGGTTTCCAGTAGACTCACAGAGTTGTACAACCATGACCACTGTCCAATTTTAAACATTTTCATCACTCCCAAAAGAAATCATACCCTGTCTCCCCCTCCTCCCAGTTCTGACATCAAAGGTTGGTCATAGAAACTGTTCTGTGTTTGTGTCTGAACAGGAAGCAGTTCAATTCTTTAACGTGACTACACTCCAGAAAGAGCTGTATGACTTTGCGAAGGAAAATATAATGGATGATGATGAGGTAAGTTTTCATGTTTAGCACACGTCTGGCTAAGAGAAAATATTACATCTTTGCAGAAATCACTGGAAGGCCAAGTCATCCCTGAAACAGAAGGGAACCTTGAGAAATATAGTTTCTGTGGGCGTTTTAATGAAAGAGCACTGGAGGGGGGAACACAGCTTTCTAGGAAACCCAGGTCATAGCACCACATTTCCTGACAGTGACTATGGAGGAACCCACCATAGAAGCCATCCAGTGATCATTTTTTAACTTTAGAAAAACGCAGTGCATTTTCAATGACTCAGCGCTCCGAACACACTTGGAAAGCCTCATCCCAGTTTTTCTGGGATATAATTATTATCTCTTTTCTTCTTTTTCTTTTTGTAAATTCGGTTCTTGCTGTGAGTCATTTTATCATTCTCTGAGATTGCTTGAAATTCCTGATTCTCACTCAGCTGTCTCTTTTTTTTTTAAGTTTTTATTGAAGTAATCTCTACCCCCAGCGTGGGGTTTAAACTCATGACCCTCGAGATCAAGGGTCACATGCTCCTCTGACCGAGCCAGCCGGGTGCCCCTCAGCTGACTCCTTTTTTTGACAAAGACTCTACTGGTGATGGATGAGTCATTTTGGGGTGGGGCAGCCTAGTCACAGAAAAGCCCTCATTATGGGGGTATTTAGAGAGATGTGTTTGAAACAAACCAGAACATGCTTCTATGGCCTCTGGGGACTTGTCAGCTTTTGGAGCTTGCTCTGGCCTGACCCCTCACTTCATTGATGAAGAGCCTGGGGGACAGGAAAATTCGATGAGCTGCTATGCCAGACCCAGAGGCCCCGAGCTTCCAGGTCTTCTCTTTCCACTGCCCTCGTTTTTGGTGAAGCACTTCTAAATAAGATATGATCATGGAATTTGGGGGCAGACCCCCACTAGCAGGTACTGAATGGGGGTAGACCCATCACTAGCAGGCACTGAATTCCCCAGAGCTCCGGTTTTCCATCTATAAAATGGGACTAATAATGTTGACTTCACAGGGTTGGGAAAATGAAGTACTAATGCTGCATGTGGAAATGCTTTATAGACTAGGAAGTGATCACTGTGTTGTGAGTCTTAGGTTGGGTTAAGAAGCAGAGCCTGACATAAGGTCACAAGGATGCTGCAAAGGAAGGAGTGCTGGCTAGAATACAAGCAAGGCTGGCTGCCCTAGTTGGGAAAGTGGAGAAGAATATATTTAGAAAAAGGAAGAGTTGCGTTCCTAATGGTCCAGAACAAGCCACTCTTGATATTTTGATATAGATACTTCCAATGTTTTCTATACATTTCTAATATATATTCATAATAAACCCAACTGTAATAGGTATCATGGCTTTTCATTTAGCATTGTAATATGAGAAGTTCCCCTTGTGATGTTTTCCTAGAACAGCTTTATTGAAATATTACTCACACACCATAAATTCTCCTTTTTAAAGTACATAATCTAGTGGTTTTTAGTATATGTGCAAAGTTGTACATCCATCCCTAAGAATTTTAGGGCGTTTTCATCACCCCAAAAAGAAATCCCAAACCTGTTAGTAGCCATTCCCCATTCCTTCTCCTCTGCCCACCCCTCCCCCACCTCTGTCCCCAGCCCCTGGCAACCACTAATCAATCTACTTTCTGTCTCTATGGATTTACCTGTTTTGGACATTTCATATAAATGGAATCTTTTGGTAGGTGGTCTTTTGCGATTGGCTTCTTTCACTGAGCATAATGTTTTCAAGGTTCAGCCATGTTGTCATATATATTATGTTACAATGTAAAATTCCTTCTTATTGCTAAGTAATATTGCACTGCATGGATATACCATATTTTGTTCACCTGTTCCTCTGTTGATGGACATTTGAACTGGGTTGTTTCTGCTTTTTGACTATTTTGAATAATGATGCTATGAACATTTGTGTACATGTTTTTGTTTGGACCAAAGTTTTTAATTCTCTTATGTACCAGGAGTATATATGTAGAAGTGGAATTGCTGGGTCAGATGGTAGCTCTGGTTAACTTGAGGAATTCCCAGACTGTTTTCCAAAGTGGCTGCACCATTTTACATTCCCACCAGCAATGTATGAAGTTTCCAACTTGCCACATCTTTGTCAGCACTTCCTGGTGTTTGTCTTTTTTATTACAGTCATTCTAGTGGGTGTGATATAGTATTTCATTGCGGTTTTGATTTTAATTTCCCTAATGACAAATGATGTTGAGCCTTTTTTCATATGCTTGTTAAGTCATTTGTATATCTTCTTTAGAGAGATGTCTAGTCTATTCAAATTCTTTGTCCATTTTTTAATTGGGTTACTTGTCTTTTTATTGTTGAGTTGTGAGTGTTCTTTATATATTCTGGTTATAAGTCCTCCATCAGATACATGAATTGCAAATATTTTCTTGCAATCTGTGGGTTATCTTTTCATTTTCTTAATGGTGACTTGAAGCATAAACGTTTTAAATTTTGATGAGATCCAATGTGTCCAGTTCAAACTACATCATCTTGAAATTGAAAGTATGAGTCTTCCAACCTCATTCTTCTTCCAGGTTGTTTTGGCTACTCTGGGTCCCTTGTATTTCCATATGAATTATAGGATCAGCTTGCCAATTTCTTTTCTTTGTTTTTTTTTTAAAGATTTTATTTATTTATTTGACAGAGAGAGAGAGAGAGAGCACGCACAAGCAGGGGGAGCGGCAGGCAAAGGGAGAGCGAGAAGCAGGCTCCCCGTAGAGCAGGGAGCCCAATGTGGGGGTCGATCCCAGGACCCTGGGATCATGACCTGAGCCAAAGGCATACGCTTAACCGACTGAGCCACCCAGGCGCCTCAGCTTGCCAATTTCTGCAAAAGGCAGTTGGGATTTTTGATAGGAATTGTGCTAAATCTGAAGATCCTTTAGATAGTATTGACATCTTAACAGTATTAAGTCTTCTGATCCATTAACATGGGATATCTTTCCACTTCTGGAGGTCTTCTTTAATTTCCTAATGTTTTCTTAAATTTTGTTATTCTTGATGCTTTTGCAAGTGGAATTTTTTCTCATTTTTATTTTCAATTGTTCATTACTAGTATATAGAAATACAATTGATTTTTGTATAATGATATTGCAATTCTGCAAATTTGTTGAACTTGTTTATTCTAATAGTTGTGTGTGTGTGTGTGTGTGCGTGTGCGCGCGCGCGTGTGTCTATTGCTTAGGAGTTTTTATATGCAAGATCATGTTATCTATGAATAGAGGTGATTTTACTTCTCTTCCACTCTGGATGACTTTTGTTTATTTTTCTTTGCTAATTGCCCTGACTAAAATCTCCAGTAAAATGTCAAATAGAAATGGAGAGAGTGAACATCCTTGTTTTGTTCCCAGTCTTCGAAGAAAAACATTCTGTGTTAGCATTAAGAAAGTTGCTAGCTGTGAGGTTTTTTGTTTTTTGTTTTTTTTTTAAAGATTTTATTTATTTATTTGACACAGAGAGAGAGATAGCTAGAGAGGGAACACAAGCAGGGGGAGTGGGAGAGGGAGAAGCAGGCTTCCCACTGAGCAGGGAGCCTGATGCGGGGCTTGATCCCAGCACCCTGGGATCATGACCTGAGCCGAAGGCAGACGATTAACGACTGAGCCACCCATGTGCCCTGGTTTTTTTTCTTTTTTTTTTGTAGGTGCCCTTTGTCAGGTTGAGAAAGTTCCCCTTCTATTCCTAGTTTGTCTAATGTTTTTATCATGAAGTGGTGTTGAATTTTGTCATTTGCTTTCTGCATCTATTGAGAAGATGATGTGGTTTTTGTTAACCTTGTTAGTTAATGTTTGTTATAAACATGACTTTTTGATGACTAATATTCCATGGTATGGATTTTTTAAAGTAAAGCTTTTTGGTTTTTTAGGCATTTAGGTTGCTTCTAACTTTTTGCTTTCACAAATAACATAGCTGAGACTAAATTGGTTACTTTTTTTCTAGTCATTTCCTTAGGATAAATTCCTATAGGTGGAATTCCTGGGTCCAGGGCTATGAACATTTTGAGGGCTTTTGATGTACGAAGACAATATGTTTAGAAGAAATCATAGATATTAGAACAAGAGAACTTTTATGATATTCAGTAAGGCTCTGTCATGTCACAGATGAGGAGAAAAATTCAGAAAGGTAGAGTGACTTGCTCAAAGTTACACAGCTGGTTTGTAATCATCCATTGAACACCAGGCTTATTCTAGGCTTTAAAATTCCTAGTATTCTTGGACCTGACACTGTCAAGATAAAAAAAAAAAGGAGTCTGTTGAAGGTCCTGGAAGTAATTAGCTTATTAATCAAAGCTTTAGAATTTTGAAAGAATTAATCCATCTCTAAAGAACAAGCTATTTTCTTTTCTATATATCAAAGTATGACAAGTAATTATTTGAAACAAAGTATAATCAATAAAATAAAATTCTTAGTTTAACTTTTAAAATTTCCAAAGGACAAAATACTATATTGGAACAAAACATCAATACGATTTAGCTACTGAAGTTAGGGGCATTCTCCTTTATTATCTTTCTGGGGTTGAAATGTGTTGTAAGAGCTCCTGAAAGTTTGCACACTGGTTAAAAATTTTGCAGATGCTTATTATGGTTTCAGAAACTTTATAAAGCAGGCTGAAATAGATGCTTCAAGTTTCGGGTTCTGATGGTTGTTTGCTTTGGGAAGGTCTAAAAGAAATAGATTATAATTTGCAGGAGTGATTTATTGAGGGAGTGCTCTCAGGTAGGAAAGAGGTGAGAGGCAAGGGAAGGAGCCATGAAAAGATATGGTCTTAGCTGGTGTCAAGCTTAGCCTGATCCCACGGGAGCTCTGGAGCATGAATTGTACCACAGAGTCTTCCTGCAATTTCTAGGCAGCTTATCCTTCTCTCCTTGGTTGTTGGCAGCCCAGAGGGGCTGGTGTGTAAACTCCCTGTTGGGGCTCCCCTTTTAGTCAAGATCAGTTGTCCAGAGACGGGGCAGCTATCAGCCCATCAGCAATCGGCCCTCCCAGCAGCTGGGGCATGGGTGCATTCCCAAAGTAGATCTGAGCTAGGCTGTTGGTGCCTCCACTATAACAGGCCACAGAGGGGGTTGTGTTTCTTTCATCTGTATTGCCCTGGGTGCTTATTAGTGAGCTCAGAGCAGGCAGTACCATCATCCCAGGTCGCAGCCGCCGCACAGCAGGGAACAGTAACTCTGGGAAGAGCTGTCACGGCCGTATATGGAGTCCCTCTATGGTGTTTTCCTTTTGGGTTGCTTCCAGAAAGCAACCAAAGAACATCGTTTTTTCTTTTTTTAAGATTTTATTTATTTATTTGAGAGAGAGAATAGGGTGAGAGAGAAAGAGAAAGAGAGAGTGGCAGGCAGAGGGAGAAGGAGAAGCAGGCTCCCCGCCGAGCAGGGAACCTGATGCACGGCTCAATCCCAGGACCCTGGGATCATGACCTGAGCCGAAGGCAGACGCTTAACCGACTGAGCCACCCAGGTGCCCCAGAACATCATTTTTTCAATCAGTAGTCTTCCACTTCCGTAACTTTAGTTTCTGATCTCAGGCATGACAAGGTAGAAGTATTTGATGAAAATAGTAAGACCCCCTGCTGTGTCTCATGTACTTGGGAGATTTCCCAACTATTCTCAGATGCTGAGATTTTATAACAGGAAGTGTGTTAAAATATCAAAAAGAGCAAATAGGCTCTTGGCCTGTGTGAAGGAGGCCAAGCTTTAGCAGGGGTGGTTAGCCTCAGTAGGGCTGACGCTCTTGTGGGAGCAGGACTTGGCCTCCTTGGCGATTCACTCATTCTTGGCAGTAAAGAGAATGTTGTCATCAGCTGGGCCCAGGTGTGTTGTGGGAGAGAAATCAATGCAGAGAAGGAAATCAGAAAGTGTGCCGGGCTATTTCAGGTTGAGGCTTAAGGCCGATTGTAGAAGGAGGGGGCAGGTAGGCTCCTGGCCCTGACAATGGGCAAGTGGGTCCCACTGTACCCAGGAGACTGTCTCGTAAAGGGAGTGACTGCTTGAGCCACACCAGCACTATGCACGCACACTCTCAATCATTCTTCCTTTAGCAGGTTTCCCACCTTCTGCGTGCCATGATCTGGGGAAGGAAAGCAACCCAGGTCCTGGTCCTTGAAAAGCTCCTGGTCTGCTGATCAGGGCAAAAGGGGGACAGATAGAGAGTGTTTCTGTGGCATAAGCGCCAAGGGGTGGGGGGGATGCCCAGAAAAGGGGGCACTAAACAGGTCTTTCAGAGGGTGGCTGGATTGCCCCCTTCCCACGGGCCGTCTGCGGGGATTCCAGAGCACGTGACTCCACATTCCCATGGAAGCCAGGTCCCTCTGAAGGGAAGTCAGGTCCTCTGGGCCCAAGGGCAGTGGGGAAGGGCTGCTCCAGCTGACGCAGGCCACCGGCAGTGGCATCTTAGAGACCGTCTCTGCTTACCGGCACTTTTAAAGTCAGGTAGCCCACCTAATGCAGGTGTCCTCTTTTCTCTTACAGGGAGAGGTTCTGGAATATGTGGATGACCTCTTGGAGCTGGAGGAGACTGGCTAGTCCGCAGCAGAGAGATGCCCCTCGATGTTCAGGAGACAAAGATTCTTCATCTTCCTTTCCCCAGTAGCCCACGTTGTTGATACCTCAAAGCCTTCTCTTTACTCTGTGACGTGAAAGGGAAGCCTCAGCTCTCACTACATACAATAAGGGGTGAGCTTGCCTTCCCCGTGACCACACCTGCCTCCCAGGGTCGGCCCAGGCTCACACCTGTCTCCCTCCCCATCTTCGCACCTGCCTTCTCCATGTTCACGCCTGCCTTTCTCACCAGTTTGGTTGGAAGGACAGTCTTCCATTTTTTTCCCCCCAGAGAATCACTATTATTTTTTAAATAAGAAAAATACGCCTAAAATTAAGTAATTGTGAAAACCTACTTTGGGTTTTCACTCTTCCAGATTTTAGACTCCTTTATCCCCATGCCCTGATCCAGGAAAGATAGTGGAAGACAAAGGCCAAACTTCTCCATGCCCCCGACAGCCTACACATGGTCTGACCTGAACCATTTCCGGCACCCACTGAAAGACAAGTTGGGTAGATAGTGCAGGCTACAGAAATACGGCTTTTGCCCAACACTTCTGCATCTCCAGAGTCTTACAGTGGTTGGTCGGCCCCCCTTGGGGACAATAGTCAGTTATAAGTCTCAAAGTTGGGAATGGAAGAAAAGCAGAGAGAGTCTAGTTTCATTTCATTCTTTCAATAAATATTTATTGAGAACCTGCTACATACTAGACTTTGACCTGGGCACTGGAACTACTGCACAGAATGACAGAAAAAAAACAAAAAACAAAACCCTGCCTTCTGGAGCCTACATTCTATAAGGAGAGACAGACAGCAAATAAATAAGAATAAATATATACAGACTATCAATAGTGATAATTGCTATGGAGAAAAATAAAGCAGCGAAGTGGGTATGGAAGTCTAGAGATGAGGCTACGGTTTTAAATAGGATGGTCAGGGAAGAAAGACTTCACTGAGAAGGTGACATCAGAAGCAGGTCTCAGGGAAAAGCATTCCAGGCAGAGGGAACAGCATATGCCATGCTTTACAGTGAGAACATGCTCGCTGTGGTGAGCGAATAGCAAAGGGGCCAAGAAGAGTGGGCAAGGGGAAGAAAGGAAGGAGATAAAGTGAGGGAGGTGGGAGAGAGGACAGACGGCTTAGGCCAGTGTAAGGCCTTTGGCTCCTACTCCGAGTGGGATGGGAGCCATTGGAAGGTTTGGGCAGAGGAGTGCCTTGGCTGTCTGGAGCCCTCCAGCTGCCATATTGTGAGCAACGGTGGATGCAGGGATACCAGGCAAAGGGAGTGCTGGCTTGAACCTGAGCCGTCGCAATGGAGATGGTAAGAAATGGTCAGACTGTGGGCTTATTTTGAAATCAGGGCCCGTAGGATTTGGTGACAGATTGGATGTGGAGCATAAGAGAAAGAGGGGTTAATGGTGACCTCAAAGGTTTTTGGCCAGAGTAGCAGGAAGGATGGAGTTGCCATTTACTGAATATCAGGAAGTTGGTTGTGCGTGGTAAGTAAGGAATTTGGTGCAAAGCAGGCCAGGATGGGAGGTTCAGGCTGCAAGTAAAATTTGACAGCGTTCTCAGATCAGGCCTTCAACAGAGCCTGAAACAGGGATCCAGATGCATGTGGTTTCTTGTGGGGGTACATTCAGAAGAAACTTGTGAAGGCCTCCATCAATCCGTTAGTTATTGACTGTCCTGTAGGGGGCAGGGGTGTACCTTTGAAGGCAAGTAGCTCCGTCAGCGGAGGGCTGTTGTCTGGAAGAAGGACTGTGACCACGGGGAGTGGATGGGGGCCGGGGGTGCGGATGTGGGTCTTGGCTCTGTGAAGGGTGTCTGGGAGGAACATCAACCCTCCCCCCCGCTGAATCATCAGCACGTACATGGTATATAAACCCAGGAGCCTGGATGGGGTCGCCTAGACTGCATGCATGTATTGAGAAACGAGAAAAGGGCCGAGGACAGAGCTCTGAGGCTCTCTGGGAAATGAGAAACCTGCCAAAGAGACTGAGAAGGAGCCACCTTTGAGGTTGGAGAAACCCAGGAAAGTGGTGTTTTGGAATCCGAGTTTTCTTTTTTCAACCGTATTCCCTCCTCCAATAAGCCGCTTAGTCGAGTTGGGACTCTGGGGATGGAGGCTGGAGGAGGCTGGCTCAGCATTTGGGAGACAGGACTTTTCTTACAGTGGCGTGGAGTGAAGGGAGCTAGAAGTTGGGGTCTTTAATGTAATGGTGAATAACTGGAGGTGGGAAACTCCTATATTTTCCCCCACCCCCCATCTCGCTACTCCACGCTCTGGGAACACAGATGGGCCCTTCTGTTCCTCCTGCACTATTCTGCTTCCCTCCTCCCTTTCTCCTGAGAGCACTTCCTCCTTTACCTGCACAAAAATCCTCCTGCCAGGTCCTCCTCCTGGGGCACTCAACTCAAGACAATAAGCTGCTGCTTACTCTCTTTGGCTGGACTTGGCCTGCCTACAGAGCCTACACTCCCGGGCTGTGTGGCCAAGGAGTCCGTGTGACTGCCATTGTGATGGCCACGCTGGTGTCCCCAGTGGCCCCCAGTCAGGGCACCCTCCAGCTCAGCAACGAGTTGGATGCTACTGCCTTCCGCCCCTTCCACAACACTGGGTCCTCCTTCCTCCCTCACCCTGCTCCCCACTCCACCAGAGAAACTTCCTTTTGAAGCCAGTGGGGAGGAGAGTCATAGGGGCAGGACTCCAAAGTAGAGGGGACCCCAGGATGCCTGGCAGCCAGTTGTACCTGGCAACTCCCCGGGGAGCTCGTGGCTGCAGCTGTCCTTCCCAGCTGTGCGAGAACAGCCAAGGACACCACCAAGGGGACCAGCTGGGTGGGGTGGTCTCACCCACTCCACCTCTGTGTGCCCTGCAGGGCTTCCATTTTGCCCTCTTCCTTGAGCCTGGGCTGAGCTGAGCTCTTTGTGGACGATGTTGTTCCACACAGGGTTGAGTGGTGGTGGTGGTGGCAGGGGTCCTCGTTCACTCTCTGAACTTGGCCCCTCTTTATGGGGGGTTGAAAAGCACCTCCACCCCCATCCTAGCGATACCCCTGAGGACGAAGCGCTGGGAGAAGGCTGGTCGGCATTGTCAGCACTTTGCTTTGATTGAAGGCTGTGGAACCCGGTTCCTGATCTTTTTATTCCAAAGGAAACCAAGCCAATCTTTAAAAAAAAAAAAAAAAAAAAAAGGTGGGCCGATTCCTCCACACCTACTATGAAACCCAGTACGCAGGCTGCACTCAGCGACCTCAACCCAACACCTTGCTGAGCGTGTTTCTTGGAAGAGCCTGGAAGATTCCTGGATTGAGACTGCATGGGTTCAGCATGAGTTGGGCCTGTCTTTTGAAAAAACAAACACATTTGTAAGCTTTGTGGGAGTTCCCAGACCCAGGCTTGCTTATCCTCTGACCCATCTGCATGGAACCCAGCTGGGAGACACGGGGACGGGGTGATCTGTCCAGCCACCTTGTCCCCCGGGCAGCCCAGGGAGGGGGCACCCACTGTGGCCCCGTTAATGTTCAGTCTCTACACTAGCGGTGGAGAGCCGAGGGGAAGCTTGTGTGGACGCGGGCTTAAAAGGGACTAATTGAAATGTCTCACATACCAACATGTTCAGTGTTGCCGGGACCCCTGAATTTGGAGCCTTTCTAATGACGGCCACTAACCTGTTGTGCACACCTCTGGGACCTGGGAGAGCCACGAGGTCCGTTGGCCACGAAGGCCACCTTGGGAAATGCTGCTTTTAGGAGTTCTTACTAAGGGAATTTTAAGAGCACAAACATTTTATTGAACCAAACTCGGTGGCAAACAGAAAATGATCTGTTAGATTGTCAATGGGGAAGGGTTTATTATGACTGCTGGTGGGATAAACAGCCACCGGTTCCTGCCAACATTTATGGAAATAATGTTTTTAAGTTTTGAATGTGAGCTGTAAACCTAAGCTACTTCAGTTTTTTTTTTTTTTTTTTTTAATTCAATACTGAAACTGGGGGGGGAAAGGTGGGTTGGTGCCAGAGAAAACATTCTCATTTAATAGTGTTTGCACATGGAACTACAACCCAGTTTGTAGCGAGGCCCTGAGAAAAACCCACAACTAATCCTTCATCACAGCTGTCTGCGCTCTTGATCATCTGCCATCCCCCGAACAGCGACTTCTTTTTTCTGGTGACTGCAGGCTTGAATGACCTAGTGTGGAGAGTTTAAACTATATACAAGGGGGGAAAAAGGGAAAGGAACCTCAAATAAGCCTCAGCCAAAGGTTTTGTGCATAGGACTTCCTGTGCCTGCAGCCAGGGTTAGGGCCGTTCCCCACCCTGTCAGTCCCCATAGCGTGTCCCTGACAGGGAAGACACCGGGACAGCCCAGCTTCGCCTTGACTGACCCACTCCTGTCCCTGAAACCAGTCAGGAGCGCTGTGGTTTGTGCCCCACGGTAGGGCCCTTCTCCCTCTGGGACAGGCGTGGGAGCAGCCTGACCCCCAGCCCCTCTCACTGCCTACTCTGGTGCCTCCCCCCCAAATACCTGGCTTTGGTGGCTTGTTGAATGAACAGGTTGGCTCACTATTCTCTCGGAGCCGATAGGGTAAGATACTGGTGTCTCATTTTATAAGAAAATAAGAAGGAAGTAAGCAATTTGGCCAACAGATACAAGATGGACGGGTTTTCAGGCCTACTTGAAGGTGGCAATCAGGAGGCCAGACTATAAACATTGTTGCCAGTGTCTCTCTCCCTTCCCTCCCCTTAGCCAGGGCCTTCCTTGCAATCCTTACAGGATTCTTACAGGAAATTAGAACTTGGAAAGTCATTGAAAACAAAGATTTTTTTTTTTTTTAGGAAAATCACATTAAATGTTTTATTTTGCTTATGTTCTACTGTCTATCTACTGGGTGGGATTGAGCCACACCCCGTCATTCGAGGATGCGTGTTGTAATGAGCTCTGTTTCCTCAGGTCCCTGAGATTTCTTTCTTTCTTTTTTTTTTTTTTTTTTTTTTTGTCCCTGAGATTTCTGACGGTCGTCTAGCAAAGCAGAACACTTACCCCAAGGACTCTAGGATCTTACTCAGCGGAGGGGATCCATGCTAGCCTCACAGGCCAAGGGCCTTTTCAGGAGACAGGGGCTCATTCCTCTTCCCAGAAAGGTTCTCTTTTAGAGGAAATCTAAACATTTGGGATCCAGGGCTTGCTTTTGATCTAAAGAGCTGCTCCCTTGCTGCCAGTATCGGAGAAGTGATAAAATATGTACCATTTCAAACAAGGACCAAAACACCTTCAGGTATGACCGCTAACAGCTTCCACGCTCCGTGCATGTCAGTAAAGGGCAAGAAAGGAGACGAAGAGCGGAGGAAGCAGGTGCAAAGAGTGAGGGACCAGCCGGGACAGTAGTGGAGACAGGGCATGGAGTGCTCAAACAGTAGCCGTGTGAAGGCAGGTGGGGGGACGTGGGCGTTTTGTTGGAGTTGGCCCAAGAATCCACAAGATACAGGGGAGAAGTACGGATTGAGGAGGAGGAGAGATGCAGGGAACCAGAGCTTGGGAAGCCTTGTGTGGGATGGAAGGCTCTGAAGTGGGGTGTGAGGGAGACCAGCCTGATCACATGGGAGGTCAGGGACACGAGCGGTACCAAGGCTTGGCCCTGCTGCAGGCGGGGAGGCAGGCCTCAGGTATGCCCGTGCCCGTCCGGGCTGCAGGCTGCCCTGGGGGTGACGCGGTGGGTCTGACTCCTAGGGAGGAACGCCCATCAGGCCGAAGGCAGTCCTCTGGAGGAGAAGGCGTTTTTGAGCATTTTAGCAGCCAACATCCAGGGCAGCTGGAGGATGGGTTCACCTGGAGAGTGAAAGGGATCTGGGCGACGCACAACAGTGTCCATGACACTGAGGAACCTGGGAGGCATGCCTGGCCTCCTGGAGGCTGCAGAAGTAAAAGGGGACGTAAGGCAGATGGGATTGGTGCTGATGTTCTCTGAGCTGCATCTCTCCATTTGTCTCTCCAGATCTCTTTCTCAGCCTGCCCTGTGCCCCAGGGTCCTGACCCTTATGGTTGACATTGCCTGGGCTCCCTCACCCTCTGACTTCGGGTTGCCACTGGGACACGCTGCCAAGATATAGCAGGGTGAACCTTGCTTCCTTCAGGCCACCGTTGGACAGTGGGGCTGTGCTCTCCTTGAGGCTAGAGGTTTTGTCCCGAAGAGCCATTCCTGTCACCGAGCTCTCCTCCGGTCCCCTGAGAGGCCTCCAGCACCCCTGGATGTTTCTCTTAACCCTGCCCACGCTTTTATGACCGGTCTCTACATCTAACTCTCTTGAATCGTCCCTCCGAGTGTCCAGTCAGGAGAAGGAGGGCAATCAGCTCTGGGCTCTCAGCCCTGCACACTCCTGCACACCCATCAGCTACGCACCCTGTTAAATGCGGAGTCCGAATCAGCGCGTCTGGGGTGGGCCTGGGATTCTGTATTTCTAGCAAGCTTCCAAGTGGTGCTTGTGCTGCTGGCCCGGGAACCACACTGAGCACGGATCCTGGGCTTCATCCTAGTGAAGGGCCGGGTCTCTGGGTGAGGTGAGGAGGAGGAAGGGAGGCAGGAGGAGGGGCGGGGCTGTGCAGATGTCCCTGAAATCCTGCTGCAAGAGGTAACAAGGCGGAGACTCCAAGAGGGTGGTCTTAGAGCAAATATGAAGACACAATTTTCAAGTTTTAAACCATCATGATGTAACCCAGATATAAAATACATTTGGCAACCATTTAGGGGAAATATTTATTTTAAAGATCTCAGAAGCTTTGTGTTGATGGACCATCCAACCCTCAATTTTCATGAACATGTCTCAAGACATGCATGATGACATATAATTTAGGTTTACAAATGTTTTCATCATTCCCTTTCCATATGCATTTTTAGATCCTGTAACATTAATTTATTTTTTTTTAAGATTTTATTTATTTGACAGAGAGATAGCGAGAGCAAGAACACAAGCAGGGGGAGTGGGAGAGAGAGAAGCAGGCTCCCCGTGGAGCAAGGAGACCGACCTGGGGCTCGATCCCAGGACCATGATCTGAGCCAAAGGCAGACGCCTAATGACTAAGCCACCCAGGTGCCCCTCTAACATTAATTTAGATGACAGCAAATCAATAAAAACTTAAAAACTGATGTGTTGGGTTTGTTTTCATGTAGTTCATTATCTATAAAATAATACATTTGCATGTATTAATGTATCTGTAATGAATTTATTACTATATTCATATTACCATTACCTATTTTTGTGTTGGTATTAAGTCAGTGTTCTTGGGTTATTACATAATAATAGTCAAATAACACAATCCCAATGTTGAGATGGGGGTTATCTTATATAGTTAACAATAGAAAAGTAATCTTGTCATAGATTAGAAAAGAATCTAATTTATAAATATATACAGTCTCTGATGTCTATTCTGTCGTGTTTTGCTTTGGCTACATGCAGAAAGTCTTTCAGTCCTATTCTAGATTTCATCTGACACAGAGGTGTTCCATCCCATAGCTTCAGGCCTTCATTTCACCCAGTAATGGGGACTAGGGTCTTTGATTTTGCTGCATTGCCTTTAGAGCTACTTAGCCGATTATTTTTCCAAAGCTTGCACCGGAAAGAGGTGGCAGGGTGGAAAACATGTTATGCAAATTCCTTTTTCCTTAGGTCAAGGACCACCACCAACTTTTCAGTTGTAAAGATCAGGATTTCTCTCATGCCCCATAAAAGCACATAGACACTTAGTGTCCCAGAATCAATGTCCAGGCCTCATCACTTTTTACCACTGAAGACTATTTCTAAGAAGGTGACTCACACTGTAAAAATATAATGTGTTTCATTTCTGTGCGGATGCGCAGGAGCCCATCGGAGATGGCAGGGTCAAATGCTGCTCCCGGGGCACGTGGCAATGCCTGGCTTCCAGGCAAGGCAAGCCGTGGGTGTCACCTTCTGGGCCGCTAGAGCCTCCGCGGCTCAAAGCTCACAATTCATACGACAGAGCAATGGTTCTCAAACTTGAGTGTGCTTCAGAATCACCTGGAGGGCTCCTCACAGCACAGATGGCTCAGCCCCGCCCCCACGGCTTCGGCTTCTTGCCGAGTTGATACAGCTCGACTGGGGACCATGCTCTGAGAACCACTGTTGTAAACGTGCTGAGCCATCCTAAGATGATCCAGATACTAGAAAATGGGTTGCTCAGTAGCCAGGAGGAGTCCATCCTGGGCTCATGATGTTTCCACGGAGCTCCCAATTGCCACAAAAGAGTACAGAGGAGGTCAGCCCAGAGCATTTCGTATTCCTTTTTAATTTCTCTGCTTTCCCATTGAATAGGTACCCATACTTGATATCCTAGTCCTCTTAAAACATTGTTTTCCTCCCATGTCATTCCCTTTTACTTGGGTTCAGAGAAATGGTTAATCCTGAGAGAGGAAACCAAGAACTGAGTTTTGTTAGTTCAGTGAAAAATTATAGGACATTCCTAGGCACAGGCTGGTCAAGGACAACAAGGCCACTGCTTCCAAGAAGAAATGACGCTTGCTGGTACAAAACTAACCGTTTTTTAATTTTTTTCTTTTCTTTTTTAAACATTTATTTATTCATTTGGGAGATAGAGAGAGCATGTGTTTATTTATTCATGTGAGAGGGAGAGAGAAAAATCATCAAGCAGACCCCCTGCTGAGCATGGAACCTGATGTAGGGCTTGATCCCAGGATCTAGAGATCATGACCTGAGCCGAAATCAAGAGTCAGATGCTTAACTGACAGAGCCACCCAGATGTCCCCAAAACTAATCGCATGTTTTTTAAAAAAACAATGGTTTGTCCTACAAAATGGAGGGAACAGAGGTGGATGTGTCTTACTACTCCTCACCTCCCTCCCCAACCCAACAAAGCATCAGTCCTAAACTCTCTCGGATTTCTTTTTTTTTTTTTTTCTCCCTCCAATTTCAACAATTAAAAAGAAACCAAAAGCTTCTAGACTATGTCCTGGTTCTTGGCTCATTTGCCTTCACAATGTCACTACATTAAAAGGAAATAACCCATTACTTTTCTATGTCCCACCCCCAACAATTAAATATCTCTATCCTAAATAACACTGCTCTCAAGTGCTCAGTTTATCATACTTTTTCTAAAAATTTCAGGTCATGGAGTTACTCATTTTTTTTTTCTTAAAACAAGGGAATGGAGACAAGAGCATGATGAAGTGAGAGGTGAGTTTTGACCTCATACTGGAATTAGGGCCTGAGCACAGGTCTGGGATCAGCACAGTACATTCTAGGGCAGTTGGTTAAGGAGATATTGATGCGTGTGATGATGCCACCAAAGCCTTTTTGTCCTACCAGGTGCCTCCAGAGCCACTTCTCGGCCTATAGAACAAAGACCTGAGAAAAAGAGACAAGCCCTACTCCACCTGTTTCATGCTCTAGTGAATTATCAGTGTTTATCAATGAGACATGGCAGTTTCTTCTCCTCCTAAGTGGCTTCGGGAGAGCCAGCTCTGAGGGTGGCTAGACCTTCTCCATCTCAATCTGCTGGTGGTAGTGCCGTGCCTGCCGCTGCCCAGCATTTAGCTTGTACACGGAGCTCTTGTGCTGGCACTTGCGGTGGCCCCACACTGCCCCCACGCCTGCCAGGAGCACCAGCAGACACAGGACAGTGACAGTGGTGGCAATGATAGGGCCTCCGCTGAGGCCGGGACACCCATCCCCTATACACGGCTCCACACTTGGAAGAAGCTCTTTACCTGCACCTGGGCCAGGGCTTTCCCGTCCCAAGAATTCCTCAGACAGCAGGTATGGGAAACTCTCCTGGACCTCAGTAGCAATGGTTTCCCCTGGAGTCTGGCTGGCCGCCATGATAGTTGAGGGAATGCGATTCGGCATCTGCTGGACAGCAGTTGTCACTGTCCCCAGGGTAGGGCTGGTGAGTTCATAGGGTAGGGTGGCCATGGGAGATGACTCTGTGGCAAAGCTCCAGGGAACAGTTGACTGGTACCTGGTCAAGTCACCATCTCCCTTGCTGGGACTCTCAGTTTCAGACACATTCACTGGTCTGAGAGCCAAAGCTTCTACGTCTGGTGTTTGAGAGGGAAGAACTGAACTACGGGTCATGTCGTCACTTGGTGTGAGGGTGGTACTCCTGGGCTTCTTAACTTCTACAGGAATGGGCTGATTAGGACTAATGGGAACCCTCTCTTCCAGCCCTACTGACCCATCTCCCTTGTCCCCATCTTCCTCCTCTTCTGCCTCTGTCTTCCTCCAAGCCCCATCAGTCACAGGGTAGCCATCTAACCAGGACTCATCACTGCTGCTCACCATTGGGTCCCCTGTCTTGCTGTCAGTCCTGCCCAAGAATGGCCCCAAAGGACCATGAGTGCTGCTATAGATCACCTCGGCTTCAGGTTCACCTGGAGCTGGTGTTGGGCTACTATGGTTGTCTCTAGCCGGAAACTGCTTTTTGGTGCCATCATTCATCTCCTTCTCCAGCTCAGGCTTGTGGAAGTTCTCAGCAGGAAACCAGAACAAGTACTTCTGGTTTAGCTGGGATCCTGGCAGGTCTGTGGGGACACTGCTTCCCGTGATGGACAAGCCTGTAGTTGGCACAAAGGCTGTATCCTGGGCTATGTTTTCTCTCCCCACAGAAATGGAGACCAGATGGTCCTGTCTCGGAGCCTCCTCAGAGGCCTCTCCCGGACCTCTGTCCTCCTCTGCCCCTGTCCGCGAGTCCTCCATGAGCTCTCTGAATGACACGGATCTGTCATCCGGGAAATTATCCTCATAGTCAATATGTGCCTCAGCTGCATCTGGAAGGGGAGAAAGAAAAACCCCATTAGGTCCAAGGTCACAGAGCCAGCAGTGTAGAACACAAGAAAAGGAAGTAAGAAGCATAAGGACTGGAGCAGACGAAGTAAAGCTGTCATTCACAGATGACATGACTGAGCATCACAGACAAATTCAAAGAATGTACATATAAACTGTTACAATTAATATATGGGTTTATCAAGGACACTGGGTCTACATCAATGTAAAATATCAACTATATTTCTATATACCAGCAATACACAGAAACAAAAATTTTAAAAGACACCATTTGCCATAGCATTAAAAAAATCAAACACCTAGGAATAAAGCTTACAAAAGATGTGCAAGATTTGAACATGGAGTGGTACAGAATATTGCCAAGCAAAATTAAAGACCTCAGTAAATGAAGGGATATACCATGATCATGTAATGGAAGGCTCAGAATTGTTAGGCTGTCAACTCTGTCCAAATTGATCTACACAGATTTAATACAACCCTAATAAAAATCTCAGGCATTGACAAGCTGATGCAAAAATTTATGGAAATGCAAAGAACCAAGATTTCTTGAAATCTACAAAATTTCAAGATTTACTCTAAAACTGGAGTACATTTTAAGACTGTGGTATTGGTGGGGCGCCTGGGTGGCTCAGTCGTTAAGTGTCTGCCTTCGGCTCAGGTCATGATCCCAGGGTCCTGGGATCGAGTCCCGCATCGGGCTCCCTGCTCAGCAGGAAGCCTGCTTCTCCCTCTCCCACTCCCCCTGCTTGTGTTCCCTCTCTCACTGTGTCCCTCTCTGTCAAATAAATAAATAAAATCTTTAAAAAAAAAAAAGACTGTGGTATTAGCACAAGGACAGATAACTGGATTACATTAACTATAGGAACTTGTGTTTATCAAAAGCCACCATGAAGGGAGTTAAAATGCAAGCCACAGACTTGAAGATATTTGTGACACATACAATCTCCAAAGGAGTCCTATCCAGAATTCATAAGGAACTCCTACAAATCAATACTAAATAGGCAGACAAGCCATAGAAAAGTTGGCAAAGATACTTGAATTGGCACATCACAAAAAAGACATCTAAGTAGTCATTAAACATGTGTACAGATGCTCAACCTCACTCGTAATAGAGATATGCTAATTACAGCCATAAAAATATGCCATTCCATAGCACCACAATGGCTAAAAGTAAGCAGACTGACAATTATCTAGTGTAAACCGATGATATCTAGTGTTTGGGCACCAAAGGACATGCACATGAATGTTCATTTAACAGCCAAAACCTGGAAACGATTCAAATGTCCCTAAACCACAGAGCTGATATAAACCACAGCATATTTGTACAAGGAAAATCTGTACATCAATGAAAAGGAGCCAACTATTACTTCTGAGGGACATAGATGAATCTCACAGCCATAATGTTGAGGAAAAGAAGCCAGACACAAAAGAACACACTTTGTGTGATTCTATTTACATAAAGTGCAAAAATAGGCAAAGCTAATCTATGATGTTAAAAGTCAGGTGGGTGGCTGGAGAGAAGGGGTGATGACTAAGTCTGGGGACAAGCATGGCTTTGGGGATCCTGGCAACATTCTACTTGGCCTGTGTGGTGGCTAATTTCTTTGTTTCTTTTCTGATAATTAATTGATCTGTCCCCTTATAATGTGTATGTATGTTAAGTAAAAACATATCTTTTAAAATCCTGATTTGCTCTTTGTAAGACTGCTTGAGGCCATGCTGTGAAATATTCTAAATCCAGCCAAGTAAGAATGAACAAAGGGCCCCGCAGTTAGGAGACCAGAATGTAAGGACAGCAGGTCAGGAAGGCTCAAGGAGCTGCGTCCTCAGAAGACAGCAGCCCACTGGGCTTTCCCCATTCTCAGTGGTCTTTGAAGTCAAGTCCCACTGGAAGTCATACTTAGTTATTAAAACAGAAAGGCTCCCTATGACATTGCAATATAATAAGAAGTATATGTTTAGTCTTTGCCCCTGGTTCCTGGCACAGAGCTCCTAAAACTCTTGGAATTACCTAAGCAATGGGGGTGATAAGAACATCTTTTGTTATTCATAACAAGCTCCTTTCAGCCTTACCTGAATTTATGGTAATGAGGTGACCCCTAGATGCCTTCTGGTCAAGTGATCAGAGGGTTGGAACTTGCAGCCCCAGCCCCTGACCTGTGAGGAGGGGGAAGGGGGCTGCAGATGGAGTCCATCATCAATGGCCATGATTGAATCAATCATGCCTAAATAATGAAACCTCCATAAAACCCCTGAACTACAGGGTGCAAAGAGCTTCTAGGTTGGTGATTGCATCCACGTGCTAGGAGGGTAGCTCACCCCAATTTCACAGGGACAGAAGCTCCTGTACTCAGGATCCTTCCAGACCTTGCCTTTTATATCTCTACATCTGGTTGTTCATCTGTATTCTTTAAAATATCCTCTAAAATGGTAAATGTAAGTAAATGTAAGTAAATGTAAGCTTTCCTGAGTCCTGTGAGCCTTTCTAGCAAATTACTGAGCCTGAGAGGATGATCATGAGAATCCCCAATTTATAGCTAGTTGGTCAGAAATACAGGAGGCTCAGGACAGAGGATTGGCGTAATTGGTTGTTGGTGTGAGAAGTGTTCTGTGGGAAGAAATAGATCTTAGTAGTGTTCCCCCACTTCAGTTTGCAACTCGGAAAGCATAAATGCAAAGAGCTCCAGAACGAAGTTCTAGATAGAGCGCTGAGCTGTCATATGGTGCATTCCTGGGCTCTGAAACTGGATTAGAGGGCATTTGGCTTATTTCTTACAAGACTCCTTATTTTGCTTCCTTAACGCGAGTTATAAATAAATTTAAACGTCCTTTCTGATCTGCTCCTAAAATTTAAGTGCATTCACTTCATTTGTGTCTTCAGCCAAAAATGCAAAGGGGCGCCTGGGTGGCTCAGTTGGTAGAGCACGTGACTCTTGATCTCAGGGTTGTGAGTTCGAACCCCACTTTGGGTATAGAGATTACTTAAAAATAGGAAGGAAGGAAGGAAGGAAGGAAGGAAGGAAGGGAAAAGTAAAGAAAAGAAAAGAAAGAAAGAAAAAGACAGTCTAGTAATTATTTCAGGAGACCCTTCTACCCCATGATGTCCTGTTCACAATCCCCAGACAAAAGCCACATCAATGGCGGGACCATGCTTAGGAGCATCCCAGAATTCCAACACAGGGCAGGCTGGCCCCCTACACGCTCTTTGCTGTCATAATGCCTCACGCTCCGCTGTACCTCCATTCCAAGTATTGCAGTCACCTGCGCCGACATTCAACAAACTTCCCCAAGTGCCCACTGTCTGACACTGCGAAGGCTCTGGGTCACTGGTGAACAGGACAAGCAGTCCCAGCCCTCATGGAGCATAGGGGATGGAATTCCATGGTCCTGAGACCTACCAGGTTGAATCACAAAGCTTTTGTATGCACAAATTCTCACCCATCCTGCTGAATAAAGACTAGGTTTTGCATTCAAGTACCATCTTTTCTTAAAAACACAACAAAATGGGCGCCTGGGTGGCTCAGTTGGTTAAGCGACTGCCTTCCACTCAGGTCATGATCCTGGAGTCCCAGGATCGAGTCCCACATCAGGCTCCCTGCTCAGCAGGGAGTCTGCTTCTCCTCTGACCCTCTTCCCTCTCATGCTTTCTATCTCTCATTCTCTCTCTCTCTCATATAAAAAAAAAAATAAAATCTTTAAAAACAAAAACACAACAAAATGAAACAAAAGCCACTACGACACAACTTTTCTCTAAAATTTACCCAAACAAGTCATACTGAATCCAGCTGGCCTTTTAAGAAGGCCATGACTTAAATCTCTTACCTTAATGCGGTTACACTGTTTGCTTGAACGTGTGTGTCCTGACTGACTGCGGTAGGGTGATAACAAAAATGTCCACGATTCTCCACTCTTCCCTGCAATGTGATTGTGTAACTCTTCCCTTCAGGAAGTGGTGTCTCTTTTTCCAGCTCTCAAATTGGGACTGGCCTGTTGCTTGCTCTGACCCACAGAATTCAGTGAAAGCCTTGCATGCTCTCTCTCTCTCTCTCTCTGCACCCCCAGCTGCCTTGAGAACAAGCCTCGGACAGCCTACTGAGGGGTGAGAGGCCAGGTGGAGGAGAGGCCAACTGTTCCAGCTGAAGCCATCTTAAACCAGTCAGCTCCATCAACCTGCGAGCTGACCACATTCACCTGACTGACCCAGCCAAGCCCAGAAGAAGAATGAGCTGGGTAAGCCCAGTCCAAACTGCTTACACAGAAAATTGCACCCAAATAAATGAGTGTTCTTTAAGCCATTACCTTTTTTTTTTAAGATTTTATTTATTTATTTGACAGAGACACAGCGAGAGTGGGAACACAAGCAGGGCGAGTGGGAGAGGGAGAAGTAGGCTTCCCGTTGAGCAGGGAGCCCGATGTGGGGCTCGATCCCAGGACCCTGGGATCATGACCTGAGCCAAAGGCAGATGCTTAACTGACTGAGCCACCCAGGCGCCCCAAGCCATTACATTTTGGGGGGTGGTTTATTATGTAGAAAAAACTGACATACTGGCCATGAGTTGGCTCAAGGACAGAGACCAAGTCACTGTATCCCTAGAGCAGAATGGTGCCCAACCTGTTATAGGTGTTCTTATAGGTATTCTTGAATGAGTGAAAAATAACTGGCACTGGGAGAAACAGGAAGGAATATCTACTCAGCTCCCCAGCTTCTCCTGATACCTGCCTCATAACGGCTCAAAGCTAAGATCTAGTGCCAGGAACACAAGACGACTTTGGGCTCGTTTCCTATCTCTGAGGAATTAATGACATATAACCATAGTATCTTATAACACCTTTGAAAGATATCACCACTGAAGTACTACTTGAATACAGACATATACATGGGAGTGCAACACACACATACACACTCACCTTTCACACGCAGGTGAGCAAATCAGTGCACAGCCTGGCCCATGAGAACACCTAGTCTCCTCCCAGCCTTTCCTTG